TTCCATGGAAGACTGGGCCTTCTGGTAAGTTTTGTACTTAATCTCAAGAGGCTCTATCTCTCTTATTCTCTTTAGAAGAGAAACATTTTCAGCTTCCAGCTGATCTCTTTCATTAATAAGAAGATTGATTTTGATCTCAACCTCCTTTCTTAAGTCAAGGATTTCAACCTTAAGCTTACTGTTTTCTTCATTAATAGAAGAATAAGTGGTTTGTATGGCTTGAAACTCTTCCCAAAATTCTGACATTGAATCAGAATCAAAGGCTCTGCCTACCGAAGAAAAACTAGAGTTGGAAGTAGAAGATACCTCATCATCAGATTGACCCATAAGGCATAGATCTTCAGTCTCTGTATCCAGGCAGCAGAATGCTTCATCAGATTCTGATTCCGAGCTGGACTCTGTCTCAGAGAGGGGGTCCTTCTCTGGTTGTTCAGTGATGAGTGCCTTCCTTCTTCGGTGCTCATATTTCTTTTCTCCTTCCTGGCCTTGCCTTTGGGAGACTATGGGGTGTGGACAGTTGACTTTGAAGTGCCCTGGTTGTCTGCAGTTGTAGCAGAGAAGCTCTCCACTGCTTTCTGATGGTTTGGACTTCTGGTGTGGCTTTCTGCTAGTGAGTGGACTTCTGCTATCCTTCGGCTTCAGGAATTTCCTGAACTTCCTAGCAAAAGCCGCCATATACTCGTCAGTTAAAAGAATAGAAGGGTCAAAATTATTTACCTGAGAGGTGCTGGCAGTGAGGGCAGTAGTTGTTCTGTCCTCAACCTCTTCTTTCTCTTCTTCATTCATCTCAAACTCATAAGACTTGAGATCAGAGATGAGTTTCTCAGTGCTGTAGGTTCTGAGGTCCTTGCTATCTCTCATGGCAGTGACCTTCATCTTCCATGGTGAAGGTAGACCTCTGAGAACCTTCAAGTTGATCTCTTTGGGAGTAAGTTCCTTCCCAAGTTCTGATATCTCAGCAGTGAGGGTGAGCAAGCGTGCATACATCTCAGTTATGCATTCTTTAGGTAGAAGTTTGAAGTCTTCAAACTTCTTCATGGCAATAGTGAGTTTGTTGTCCTTTTCTTGCTCATCTCCAGCTCCTATCAGGGTGAGAGTATCCCAGATTTCCTTGGCAGATTTGCACTTCTTGATCCTTTTGAAGTACTTGTCATCAAAGGCCTTGTAGAGGATATCCTTGGCAATGTTGTCAAGGTTGTACTTTCTCCTTTCTTCATTAGACCATTCATGGCGCAGTTTGGTGATCATCTGAGGTTGACCACTACCAGTGATGTATTCAGGGTTGACCTTGGTGAACTCTGTGAAAGGTCCTGCATCAAGAACTTCCCACATTTCGTCATGGAGTGCGCAGAGGTGAGATTTCATGCGGATCCTCCAGTCATCAAACTTTGTTACTGAGAACATAAGATTCTTTGAAAGAGTGTTATCCATAATATGAGATTAAAGAGGCTAAAACAAGTGGATCTCTTGTTTAGTAAGTAACCTAAAAGATTACAAGAACAAGGAGGCTCTGATACCACTTGTTGGTCCCGTTTGTAATGGGAACAGTCTAGAGGGGGGGGGGGGGTGAATAGACTGTTCAGGAATTTAAACTTTTCTCTAAGTCAAGTCTGACTTATCAGAGATGGTCAAAATCTGGTGACAGAGATGGTCAAGTTCTGATGGCAGAACTAGACCAGGCAGCGGATAAGTTTCTGTCCGGGTAGCCTCTAGAAGAAAGCTAAGGCAAAATGCCTTTCTGATAACTCTGAAGGGAGATCTGCTGGACACAGATTCCAACCTAAAGAGTTAGTCAGTAGAATCTTAAGTGCAGAAAATAAAAGCTGAAAGTAAATGACACCGGGGTTTTTATA